CAGACTTTAGAACATACCTGGTATAAATCAATGAGTACCCTGAATGGTGACATGTGGTGTAGGTGGAATGTGTCTTTCCCATTTTGTTCCTCCGGGAGCTGTAGGATCTATCAAAATTATAAAATATATATTTATTTTTAAATATTGATATAGTGAGGGTTTCAGAATTAAAAATTCGGAAATCTAATTTTAACAAAAATATATGACATGTTTATTTTTAAACAAACGATGTACTAACTTTATTTTCTAGTAAATTTGAATTAATGATCTTTATCATTAAAAAATTTACTATTTCATGAAATGAGAGTCTCAAATACTCCCATTTCATTTTCCTATTTCAAAAATCTGAAACACAAATAATAGGAGGTTTCAAAATTAACAAATAAGTGACGCATTTCGAAAATAAGTAGGGTTTTTCAATAGCATTTTTACTATGTTGAATTATAAATCGGAAAATGAAATAAGATTCTCTGATTTTAATTTTGAAACCCCCTAATATTTTTAATACTCCCATTTATTTCTAAAATACGATAATTTTTTTTTTTTAATTCTAAAACCCCTCAGAAACTAAAATCAAATAAATATTCTTAACATCTATAAGGGTCAGGATGACGATATTTCTCAAGTTCGTTTTCGGCGTCTTCTAATAATGCTCTCAAATGTTTAATACTATTAACGTTTTTATTTGCATCAAATCTTGCACGAATCTCTATAGCTTTTCGACGCCAAGCTTCACGATCTACACACCAATCGAGAGAAGTTTTCAAAGCACGTCTATATAAAGAAGATACGTAACGTTTATGAGCAACTGAAAAACTGATTTGAGACATTTTAGTTGCTATTTTTTTCGAAATGGTTGAACTTTATATTTTCGACGGTCAATCTCGTGTAACGTTCGTACATAACGACCAATCAGAGTATAAGATCAGGTGTAACGTGAAAACCGAATCAAATGAGCTCAAATTTGATATTACCTGTTACTGGATCGGAATAGGCCCAGAGCTAGGCTGGCATTAAGCAATAATACCAACCAACTATACTACATACGTATATACAAGAACTTGGTGAATATTGATTTTTTTTACTATAGTGTAAATTCTTGTGAATTTAATCCTTTCACGGTCAAGCTATTTTATTTCGAAAATAAAGTTTTTATAAAAAAAAAAAAATTAT